AGTTTTGATGAAAGCCCTTGAGAAATAGCCCAAAGAAGTGGGAATAACAGACAGGAGGATCTACTGCATCAGTACGACTAAAGCAGAACTCAAGAAATAGACACATGATGGCAGAAGCCACTGAGGTGTGTTAAGGAAGCACCATGGCCAGTGACCTGGACTCATTTGTAAATGCTGTACAGTGAGATAATCTCTGAAACTGTAACATTCCAAAAGGAGCAGAGATCTTCAAAGTAGAACTAAAAACTAAGATCTGCCACCTTATAATTAGTGAGGATTCAGACTCCAAGGATGTCCTGCTGATCAGATATCCTATTACTGTCTTCTCACTGCCTTTTACCTGACCACGTAGAGAAGTTTTCTTGCATAACTTCTACAAATATCTAAAATTCCTTAGCAGAAGCAATAACCATTTAAAATCAGTGCTAAAAATATAAAAACCTTTTGTTGTTTCATACTGACAAAGAAGAATAAAAGAGCATTCTATCCATATCCAGTTATATCCTTGGGGAAAAGTAAAACATAGATTGGACTTTTCCCATCTCAAAGATCAGGAGCAGCTTTCCATCCCAGATACCCTCAATGAAGCTTTGTTGTCTTAGAAACCTACCCAAATGCAATTACATTCCTTTTCTGTTCTGGGTTCCTAATTCAGGACTACCAGATTTATATCCTATAAAAAGATCTTATATAGGTACTGTGAAGAAATTCAATAGAACATCAACCTGAAAACAAATGAACATCAAAATACACATTCTATCAATGCTATGACTAATCATAACCACTAAGTTATTAAGGAATACCTATCTCCTGAGATCAACATAGCAGCTGATACTGTACACTGCTTCCTTCAAATATCCTTTTTCTCAACTTTCTGTCTCAAGAAACCCTGGAAGGGACAGGGTTAGGATGTTGCAAACTTAAAGAGGAACAAAAATTAGATCATCAGTAACACAAAATAGAAAAAAGCAGGGGGAAAATACAGAAGGGAGACAAAAAATAAAAAGCCAAATAAGAAAACAGGTGCATATAAACTACAGATGGTATTCCTATGACAAACACTTTCAGAAATGTACACATTAAAATAAAATGAGAGCTATTTTTTAGCAAATTTCCATAACACCATTGGTCCAAAACAAACAAAACAAAAGTTTTCAGTGATAAGTGTCATATTTGCCAATAAGAAGCCCATGATTACAGTCAAAATTAATTTGACAGATTCAAATGCTACCTTTGTTAAGTAAAAATTAATGCTTCTGAACTCTGAAGTTTCATGGATAAATATGAATTAAACAAAACCTTCAAACAAAGGAGTTTGCTGAAGCCACAGATATTATGATCTGAAGACAATAAATGCTGAACTTCAAATTCTTCAAAGCACAATAGGATGTTCCAGAGCACATCAGAGCTCTATTCTAGACTCAAGATTTAAGGCTTAGCCTGAAAAAAGGGTGTACCTCTACCAAAGTCACTATACTGAGGTGAAGTAAAGACAAAAAGAAACACATAAATGACTATTACTTCATAGGATTACTATCTTTTTTATTCTAAGACACATTCAAAGCATTTTAAAGCCATTTGCTCTAAAATGTCTAAAATATCTTCAGATATTTAAAATATATATTTTTAAATAATTTGGTCAATTTATGTTATTACATTCTCATTTAAAACATATTTTTCAAAAAAATCTGCATCTAAACATCAACAAAGACATGAAAGATATAGTTTGCAGAAAAAAATGACTGTTTTGAGAATTCAAATTTTTTAAATACAAAAATGCTTTTTCGCTGTTTCATTTATTTATTTTTTTTCTGGTACCAGGGAATAAACTCAAGACTTTGTGCTTGTGAGGCAGCTGCGGTGCCACTAGCTAGTCCCCATCCCTGTTTTGTATTTGTTTTTAATCCAAAAGTAACACCTAAATATGAAAAGAGGACCAGGAGCTAATATATAGAGAAAAGCCAGGCATATTTTAACAAAGAGGATTTCCACTAATAAAGGAAAACGAGTAGTAGTAGATGATACTGAATATATATATTAAATATATATTCACATATATACATATATAAGTTTTTTAACATGTATCTTAAAATGTCTGAAGTTCACATAGATGTAGAAAACTGCAACAAAAATGGCTTGAGTGAATTTTCTTCTTACTGGAGTGGGCAGGCTATTATGTGCTAAAATTCTTACTAGAAAAGTTGTTCACACAACTTCCTACCTATTTGTATTGTATTCTGGAGTCCAAGTCATAATCATCATCCTTCCTCTAATCGATATACTACATGTTTGAATGTTCTATGCTTCTTTTCCATTTTGGGATAAAGCCTTTCGCTGGAATGTATTTCAGTAACAGGCACACTTTGTTGTACTGTGATAGATTTGGAATCCAGAGTACTCATATACGCTAGGTAAATGTTCTACCACTGACCTACGCCCCTGGCTCCACATATTTCATTAAAAACGCAGTACTTGAAAAATGTATAACTTATGTAGTAAGGTTTCATTGAACAATATTATGAGTTAATTGCTTCTTTACTTAGCAATAGACTGACATATCAATCTGGAATGTTTAAGTCTCTAAGCTTTTATTGCTATGGTTTGAATGTTTCTCTACCTTCAGAATGAAATTTAATTGTAACAGGAGGTCAGAACTTTAAGGAGTGGGTCATGAGGACTCTGTTCTTGTGAGTGAACTAATGTGATTATTATGGGAATGGTTAATTATCACAGGAGTGTATTCTAGATAAAAAAAATATAGCGATTGCTGCCCAGTTTCCCCGCTGTTTGGCTCTCTATGCAAAGTCTCTTTCCATGTTATGATATAACAAGAATGCCCTCCCTACGTGTGACTTCTCAGTCAGTATTAAACTTCCCAGCATCCAGAATGGTTAGCCAAATAAACTTCCATTGTTTATAATTTACTTAGTCCATGGTATTGCATTATGGCAGAACAAAAATGGGCTAAGACATTTCCTTTCAGATTAAGAATTGTGGACGATTTCATTTTATAAAGTGAACAACAATAATCTCTCCCATCTGGTACATTCTTCTGCAGTGTGATTGTGCCCTCCTCTCATGGGAGTGTAGCGGGTAACTTTTACATTTCCTTGAATCTTGCCCAGGCCAATGACCTGTGAGGAATACAATGATACCACCCCATGCAGCAACTGACTGGTTCAAGAGCTTCTGCCTCCTGTCTCTGGAGATGCATCTGCCGTATGAAAAAATGTTACAACAGGAAAACCAAGCTGTCACTGCCTTAGCCAAAGGCAAGCGAGCCTTCTCTGTGAGGAGAGGGAGGGCTTAAGATGCAAGAAGGAGCTGGACTTGTTCAGTTAAGAATCCTGACATCTTGCAAAGAAATCCTGCAGGCTTAGTCCTGCTCAGGCCCACAGACTGCGCACAGGGCACGCAGAAGAGTGATTTCCAAATGACAACATTTGAATAAAATATGAGTGTCTCTGGACACTAAATTTTAAGGTAACATGCCAAAGGAGTAGAAAAACAAGCAATCATTAAATTGTCTGGCTTTATTTGTACCAATTTTATACTCTTTTAGGCTACTGAATTTTATGAGGCTTCATCTGTCTAAGTATAAAACTTTTATAACCAGTTTCATATGGGTTAACTTTCCAAGATGTATGGCCTTACTGTTGTATGCCTCTTGCTAATTACCAAAAAGGCAGTTCCTAAGCTTAAGAGAGCTTATTGAAAAAAGGTATTACCAAACTGCTCATTAGCCAACATAAAGACTAAAAACAGGCAAAAAGAAAGTTTAAAAATCTGAATCATTAGCTGGGTGCCAAAATTAATTTACCTCCTTACATACAATGTGTACCAATAATAGATCTTGAGTTTACTTCTAAACATTTTTGAGGCTGAATACCACAAAATAAAATTCTAATAGGTATAGAATATAAAACTATTTTTCTCAAAGGCCAGACATTACTTATCAATTTATTTTCTTCCACATTACAATATTGAGAGTATTTCAAATAATAAATAATATGAATAAATATGCTTCACAAGGGATATAAATGTCAAATGCTCAGGAAACACTGTGTTAATTTCTGTTAATAATTGAGACTTCACTGTCAAATATTTACATAACATACTTTAAATTAAACTAAAAATTATGTATTTAGCATAATTGAAGTGGCATTTTTCCAACGGGTAATTCTCTTTAAAAGCTTGCTCAGAATCTATTATGAATGCTGTAATAAAATTTCATTATTGCAATTCTTTTGATTCATGTTGCTGTAAGGCATTTCTACTTCCTGTCATAATTTTCTGACTACAGGTTTGTAATTTAATAACTCCTTTATTTACAATATATATGAAATTTTACAATATCTGTATTCATTATACCAATACATATGAAGCAGTCATAAATTTATGCTTTCAATGTTTAAGATTTTGATTTTTCACTGATTTATTCATGGAAAGCCAAATTATATGAACATATAAAATTAAAAGTTAGCATATCTGCCTTGACTAGAATGTGATTGTTACAGTACTCTAACTTCAAGCAAATAAGATTTTTTTTCCTGTTATGAAACATATATGTGTAGTCGAAATTTATTTTGTTTTTGTTTTATATGTTTAAGAGGTACAACATGATGCTTTGATATACCTATAATGAAATGATTACAACAGTCCAGAAAATTAATCTATCCAGTATCTAATGTAGTTACTTTTCATCTATATATAGAAAGAGCACCTAATAACTTCTCAGCAAATTTTCAAAATACAGTATAATTAACAATAATCCTTATGTAATGTTAGACCTCTAGACTTGTTTATTTCACAATGATATTTATCATCAGCGAAACTATTTCTAACAAGAGTCAACTATCTGTGTTCCTATATTTTTAAAAAATTTCAAAGTGGCTCATTGCCAAAAATATCACATTTTTTTTGGTATTATTAATCTTAAATTTGTGAAAGACCTGAAATGTTTTTTGTAAGATATCATAGGTTTTCCAATTCAAGAAATCTTTCAGTAGCAGGAACTTTGGTTGTTTTGTTTTGTTTTGTTGTAAGAAAACCTTCCTGATAATTGCAATGAGTTAAAGATACAAAGATGTAACTTTTCCAGTGACCAGGTAATGCGGACCTTTCAAGCATCTAATGAAGATGTTTATGATTCTGAGCACCATTCAAACATCGCTTTTGCACTTCAGTTAAGATCTGTCATACAGCAGTGAATTTTGAGAAGTAAACAATAGGCTCAGGAAAAAAGCCACCCCCCAAAATTAGTTCTTCATTCTTGTGCACTGCCTTGAAAGCAAGTCATAGTGGCACACAATGATCTGTGTATTAGTTGCAAAACACTTCCAGATTATAGACAGAGTATTTAATCTCAGCATCACTCATGTTGTTTGATAGAAGCAGCTCCTGGTCTTCTATTGATCTCCATATTCCCTGATCCCTTGGGCCAGGGACTTGGTGTTCAGGAGGGGCCACAATGTGATTAATCTATGACATCTTCACCCGAAGTACTGGAACAATGCATGCCAAATCTTATAGTCTCTTAACCTTTTCTGGTGGCATTCTACATCAAACAGTGGGCTCTCTACATAGAGAGACTCTCATCAGCTGGTTCTAGACGAAAACATTATGAACAAATCCCCTTGCCAACCCAAAATATTTATGTGATATATCTGCTTCAATTCTTCAAACACAAATAGACAAGACCTTCTCCATATGTGCATTCCTCCTTATTTAATCACATTTTGACAATATGACACATAGATTGGTAATTAGCCATCCATCTGGTAGAACTTTTCACAAGTAAAACTATTTTTTTTAGATGTACAAAGAGGCTATGGAGAATTATTTTTTAAATTAACTTAATTATTTCATTAAATTCATCAAAAACTCCTGAAGCACAGAAGATGATAATTATATATTTATTAGAAGTTAATTAGTAAGAGGTTTTTTTGTGGCAATCCTGGACTTTCAGTTTTGAATTATTTCATTAAATAAGTAAGGAAAATAAAGAAAGTCTAAGACTGGTCATGGTAATATTTCCAAAATTTTATGTTCCTGGAATTTATTTTTCTTTAGTGGTAGTGGAGGCAGAAAAGAAGAAAACTAGTTTCTTGTCTTGGCTATGTCTAGGGAAAGAGATATAGTGTATTTTGGTTTTAAATTTTCAGTGGTCTCAGAACACAATTCATTAATCTCAACTAGAAAAATATTTATATTTTTACAGGACAGCTACTTCTGCCTTCCTAAGCACGATAACGACTGTGAATCACTAGTCAACAAGGCCCTCCTTTGATCCTCTGAAGAGTCTTAGCACAAAAAGAGCCAAGAAGGGTTAAGACTGTCTCAAGCATGGACTTGGGAACAGGAATTTCTGGGGCTGAGAGACAAGGAGGAGATTAATGACAACTGTATGATGATCTATATTCTGTATCCAAATTCTGTAGACACAATTACATGGCCACCTGAAGCAATGCTTCTTCAACTGTGGAGGGTAAAGATTGTGTCTTTGTCTTTCTTACCTTTTATCTCTAAACAATATATAAAGTACACCAAGATGGATTTCTTAAAAATGTGCATATAATATATAAATCATTTTAAGATTTAATTAGATTCCAAAAATCTAAAATCACTCCTTTTAGTTGGTGCCATGGCTTTAAGCACACTTTCTCATCCTCTACCCTAGCTTACCATGGAGCAGGCTCTGAGTAGTGTCTCATGACATCCTATGCTGAACAGTGGCTTCTGGGATTCCCAACACACATCTCAAAAGGAAGAGTAAAGGATATGATGTGAAGCACAGGCAATCCTTCTTATCTGTGGATTCCATAGTTGTTAACTCATTTAATCAGAAAATTCTATTTATATCTCCAAACCCAACACTACTCACTATGTTTCCCTGTCATTCATGAACACAAACACAGCAGAGAGAACAAGTCATTCAACACACTCTTCCCACCTGAGGGCCAATAGGCAATGCTCTGCTTTTTTGTTTCATTTCTTTTACTCCAAGCAAATTTCATTTTTTAAAGTGTATTTATTAGCCACTGTTTTCACATTCCTGTATTTTTGTTGGTGATTTCACCATTTAAAACAACTCATAAGCAGACTGCAAAAGTGCTATCTAATATTCCTGAGCATCAGAAGCCTGTGATGTGTCTGTCGAGAAAATATGAATTAGATAACCTTTGTTATGACTTAAATGACATTGTTATTGGCTGTGAAACCAGGCAATAAATAAAAACTGTACATGAAGTGTCTTTAACCAGAAACCTACTTAAAACAAGTTTATGCATGGATCCATTGATTAAAATGTTATGACTAGATTCTGTCAGGATCCAGTTCTATTTTGTAGGCACTATGATTCACTATCGCTTGGTGACAAGCTTAAAAATCTAGATTTTTGCCATGTTAATTTGTATCCATTGAGCAAACACAAAACACAACTAAAAATGTCTGCAAGTATTTTAGGACTGTATTGAAAAAGAGAAATAGCTTCTAAATTTGGACTTTGCTCCATAACAAAAAATAAATCGGTTGAATATCTCTGTGCATATTTACAAAGCTGAGATATTTATTTAAATTGCTTCTATAAAATAAATGTTTCATATTTAAGTATAGGGTTGAATCTTTAAAAAATATACACATATTGCATACTAAAAGGTTGATCAAAGTGCTTTGAAAGAATAATGTTTCAGTCATTTTTGGATTTTAAAGAATTATTAAGTATTTACATTCCTTTATGAGGTAAGACTCAGGCCTCAGGATTTATAAATTAAGCAAATAATATATATTTTATATAAATATGTTTTATATTTTTGTTTTTTATATTTTATATATTTATATTAAATATATTTAAAGGTCACAAGGACATCTGCTAAATGTATGATCTCTCAACTCTCACCATGGTCATTTCTGAGATAGCAAACAAAGAAAACATTAGGCTTAATTAAGTAGTTAAATGTGGTTGTTAATTTTAAAAATGAAAAAACTTGTACATTGAAAGGAACAAAATAAACAAACTAAATTAACATGTAGTTAAATAGATAGAAAAATACTTTAATCATTAAAGCAAAGCAATTAATTTTCAAAAACATTCATTCTACAAGTATAAAGAAAACTAGGGATATACTCTTAAGTAAAATAAATATGACACACATGTGCAAATACCAAATAGT